ATTTTATTTGTTTATTTATTTATTTAAGTAATTTGTTTTTGCTTGAATATCCATTGACTGATTTAACAAGTTCGTTGTTGTTTACCCTTTGATTGCTGGGCTTATTGTCAACTGCACTTTCACTTCGAGACACATCTTACTAGGTAGTTAGTTGTTATGACAGTTGCTTGGACCTGAGTACTGCTTTCACTGGCATTGGGACTCTAAATTTTGTTCTTTTCCTATCATGATTTGAATGATTTAGACATCCATTCTACCTATTTAACCACATTTAGTAATCGTGTGGAGCTAGTTGAACAGTTTTCTTCCCTATTTACTTGGGCTTTTCCTTTGTGGATTTAGTCCTTTTGCTCTGATTCGAGTCTTAAGCTTCTTTGTATACTTCGATTGATCAGGTTGTCCATACTCACTGTTTTAGCTGGCAACATCAAACCATAGTCATCTTGCGCCATTCCCTCATGTTATGTTAAAAGTGTACGTGAAACATGTTAGCCACAAATAAGACATATCAACAAGCAACTACATATATCTCCTAATTACTTAAAGAAATTAAGAAATTATTGTTAACGATGTCCCCTATTTGGTACATTATTGGAAGAGGTGTCTCTTATTTGGTTTTTCATTGAGTTATTTCCTTTACTGTCGCGAGCCATGTTCTGTTGGAAAACAACCAAAGGTGGTTATGAACAAGGGTCACTCGCAGACTACCAGACAATCATAGAATTAGGCAACACAGAATTTAGAGAATTGGGGGGAGGTATCATTTTTTTTGGCCATCATATTGTATCATAAATCTCTTGGCATGTGAACGGTTCTAAGCACTAATTCACCAAACAGAGAAAGTTGCTCATGCTCAGGGATAGGCAATCAATTATGTCATGCTTTTCTAGGTTTAGTACACCAAACCTCTAGTGATAGTTCTGGTCATCCTTTTGCTGTAAGCCAATGAAATGATCTTGATTTAATTTGCTGCTGTCTCTCATGATGCATCTCATCCTAAGAGGGCAGTTTTTAGGATTGTTGGGCATTTCGTGCCAAATGCAGTTGTTGAAATTGTGCCTCGAGGTTCTCTTTCCATTAACACAAAAACGGCTACTGCCATTAGCACTGCCCAAAATTTAAACTTAAACCTCAAAGAGAAAGGCTTGTTTGTTATTGTTGTCCTTAGACTGCATTAGGCTGTAAGATAAGATGTCCTCTAAAAAAAAAAAAAAAGTTTGTAACAAGAATGGTCAACCCTAGCCTGTATAGATTTGGTATGATTTTGTTTTTTTTTTGGTTTTTGTTTTCAAAATTTGAACAATTAAAGTTAATAAATAACTCTGATACTATATGACTTAATGACCATCCCTTTTATGAGAACGTGTTTGGACGTGAAAGTTTTGAAATCTATTTTCAAGCACTACCTCTCTATCCCCAACAATTCCCCTAAGTCAAAAATAAATAAATAAATAAATAAAAACAAAAATTAAAAATAAAAATAAGGTTGAGTATAAATTTTTAAAACTAATACCCAAAATTAAAAGGTCCATTAATTTATAAAGGATTTTTTTTATTAATCAAAGGACA